CCAGAACGATAGGCAGCAGCTGGTTCATACATCACTGGATGCAGGTGTCAGTGATGTTTTACTAGACTAGGTTAGCTCGAGCCAATTTGGCAAGGAGATGGAGAATGCGATTGAGACGTCAGTTTCACTGAAACGGTATATACAGACTCCGGAGTAACGTTTGCATATATAGGAAAACTAACAAGTGCTGTGAATAGCAAAAGCTAAGATGGTTTTTATTCAATCTCCTGTGCGTGCAGATTTTATAACATTAGTATTTCAAGTCTCTGTTATCGATCTAGTTGGTCATTTGATGTAGCAACGCTTAAATTTGGATAGCCCTATTTACATGTCCAATATTCAGAACGATGAATATGGAGCTGACAAGACCAGCTGATATGTTGTTTTTTGTTTATTAAAAATACAGAAAAAATATTTAACAAGAAGATCTCTTCCGGCCAACCCATTTTTTGTGAGAGAGTTTGATGCAAATTGGCTATAAAACGTGAAACTGCTTTAGTTTTAAATAAACATATAACTAACTTAGTAGAACAATGTAATGCGAACGACACCTACGATGTGAAGAAGGCTACTCCGGCTTTTCAAATACATAAGTGAAGCCTTTTGAATTTTACTGCACAATGTCAATTAACTTGTATCTTGATCTTGATAAATTGACGGCAAGAGTTTGATTATTTTTAATTAGACAGTTAACGACTCAAATTTTTATGTTGTGTTCGCCGCAACCTTAAATCCAGGTTCCAAGCGGATCATTGATGATAAACGAAGAAATAATATCCAATCTGTTGCCATGGCCAATTTGAAAACAACTAATGGAGTGTGTACGCGTGAAATACCCTGATGAGCTGCCCTAGTCGGAAAATACTGTAATGCTGTTGTAGGTCATTAAAACTGGTTTATGTTTTCTTGCTAGTGTATCAGATTTTACTTGTGAACCCTTTGGTCTAATTTATAACTAACTAAATCGAGAAAGTAAAGAATTTCTAGCAAAAACGGTCTAAATTGAATGGGAGGGCCTGGTGTTTACGCCCTGTGTTTTATTTAATCCGGGGCGTATCTAGTGGGTAACTACGTACAGGCCAATTTTTGGGGCGTAAGTGGCATTATAATGTAGATTTTTGGGGCGTATATCCAATCTATCTTTGAAACTGTTAGGTTTTCTTTATTTTGTTATTCTCACGATTATGCACCTTCAAATTTGATGTATAAGTGTCTTTATATCATTTTTATAGCTATAGAAATAAAAAAGTTATGCCAAAAATACTTTTTAATTTTTCGTTTTTTTGCTCTCCTGAAAAGTCGTGTTTTGGCGTTTACGCCCTTTGAGCCCAGAGGTATCGATATATTATATTGTCCCTACGTACAATCTCGTAAGTGGTACTTAAGTAATTTGCCTTTTTTCTTTGTTTTCACCTTAGATTTTCATAAGTTACCTTCGGTAAAGACAGCATGATTCTAAATAGCCTAATTCCACTCGAAATTGACACCCCGTAACTACAAAATTTACACAATACCAACGTAAAACTACGGTAGTGGTAGTTAGGAACCTACTTTACTACTCATTTTCCGACGTAAAATGGCGGTAGTTAAGTTACGTTATTTTACACTGGAAGGCCAACACGCCCTGGTGCGCTCTCTCCCGTATCTGGCACTTACTGCATACTCAATACTCAATTCTTTATTGCTTTCATGTTGTACATAAATAAGATCTTATAAAATAACTAGCTGTTACCCGCGGCTTCGCCCGCGTACTCATAGGGATTTATTAATTAGTTGCGTATTCTAAGCGACACATCATAAGGCAAACAACTGAGAGGGCACTAAAATCACTATTCACTGATATTCAATTCAATTCAATTCAATTCAATTCAATTTATTTCAAAACAATAATACATTGTGTAGAAATTACTTAAATAAATTTACAATAGTCAGATATTATAACAACACAGACCTTAAAAAATATTAATTTATATTATAACACAACATTAATCATTCGAATTTATACCTACATTATTAAACACTACTGAATTCAAGTAAAGTACATAAACACTATACAATAATAGATTAATGAGTACAGTACAACAGTCAATGACAAACAACATCAAAACTAAATATCCATCTAAATATTATTAGTATTTAACATTATACATTATACATATTATTAGTATTTTATGCAGACGACATTACGTTGAAATAGTTCAATTCAATTCAATTTATCCACTTCATTAATATAATAGAAAGGAAAAGCCTGGCACTGAGTCTCTAGGTGTCTCCCTTGAAAATGTATTTTGATTTGTGGTACCTTGGCGCTACCGTCAACAATACAAACTATTGAAAAAAAAAACGGCCAAGAGCGTGTCAGACACGCCCACAAATAGGGTTTCGTAGTCAACGTTTAAATATCAGGTTATACAGCGTTACAAAGTTAATTTTGATGCTGGTTTGTTTGCAGCTGTATATTACCAACCGCAAATAGAAAACCTTTTATTTTTCTGAAATCTTTATTGGTACAGTATCCGTTATAGTTTTCATGGTAATTTCAGATTGAGAAGTATATTCCATATTTTTTCAAATTTTTAGCGTTTATACTTTAGGAGTTACAGCTGGAACAAATTATGGCTCAAAAACGCCCCTTTTAAAAGCAAATATCTCGAGACAGAAACATTTTAGTGACTTTGTTTCAAAGAAACCTCCCCTTAGTTTTAAGAGACCTATTCAACGATACTCTACTCAATATTACAGAAGAATTTTGTTATTTGCCCCCTTTCACTTGTACATTTCTCAACATTTCTAAATTTGGGTCAACACGGTCTATCTTCACACCAAATTTGATGTCGATAGCTCTAAAACTGACGGAGTTATCAGGGCGCGGCATACAGACAGACAGACAGACTTGACAAAACTATAAGGGTTTCTAGTAGACTACGAAACCCAAAAAACATGACGCGTAAGAAGGGTCCTTGAGTTCTTTGGCAACATCAAACTCATGATCACTGGAAAAGTCGATGGCGAAAAAACAACCAAGAGGTTGCAGTGTAATTAGGTGGTCTAATCAAATACGCTCAGCGCCCTATGTCGTCAAAGACAGGCAGCGATGGAATTGAGGAAAATTATTTCCCATCACGACCCTCAGTTATGATGATTACGACGCCATGAGGAAGATTATGAAACATTTCCAGTGCAAGCGGACATTCCATATTCTTGGTGGACTTGGCCTTGGTCTTGGTCCTAGTCTTGGTCTTGTTCCTGGTCCAGGCCCAATTTTCGGTCACGGTCTCGGTCTCAGTTCTGGTCCTGGACTCGGTCTTTGTCTCGGTCTCGGTCTCGGTCTTGGTTCTGGTCCTAGTCTCGGTCCCGGTCTCGGTCTCGGTCTCAGTTTCGGTCTCAGTTGCAGTTCTGTTCCTGGTCTAGGTCTCGGTCCCGGTCTCGCTCTCGGTCTCGGCCTCGGCTTCGGCCTCGGTCACGGTCACGGTCACGGTCACGGTCACGGTCACGGTCTCGGTCTCGGTCTCGGTCTCAGCCTCAGCCTCAGCCTCAGCCTCGGTTTCGGACTCGGTCTCAGTTCTGATCCTGGTCTAGGTCTCGGTCCCGATCTACGGTCCCGGTCTCGGTCTCGGCCTCAGTTTCGGTCTCGGTCTCAGTCGAAGTCTCGGCCTTGTCTCAATCTCGATCTAAGTCTTGTCTTCAGTCTCGGTTTCGGTCTCAGTTCTGGTCCTGGTCTAGGTCTCGGTCCCGGTCTCGGTCTCGGTCTCGGTCTCGGTCTCGGTCTCGGTCTCGGTCTCGGTCTCGGTCTCGGCCTCGTTTTCGGTCTCGGTCTCAGTTCTGGTTCTGGTTAAGGTCTCGGTCCCGGTCTTGCTCTCGGTCTTAGCCTCGGCCTCGGTCTCGGTCTCGGCCTCGGTCTCAGTCTCAGTTCTGGTCCCGGTTTAGGTCTCGGTGCCGGTCTCGGTCTCGGCCTCGCTATCGATTTTGGTCTCAGTCGCAGTCTCGGCCTTGTCTTGATCTCGGTCTCGGTCCTGGTCTCGATCTCGATCTCGGTTTTGTTCTTCGTTTAAGGGCCGGTCTCCGTCACGGTCTCGGTCTTCGGTCGCATATTATCATTTGTATATGTCTCGGTATTGGTCACGGTCTCCGTCCTGGTCTTGGTCAAGGCCTCGGTCCTGGTCTTGGTATTGGTATTGGTTTTCCCCATGCCACTATACCTCTTCCTCTCCCTTTCCCATCAGGAGATGAAAAATGTTGTCTAAAGAATACGCATGCAAAATTTCAAGCTTCTAGCCCTAAGAGTTTGGTCTTTTCAGCATTGCATAACTTTTATCCCCTATTTTGACACCTCGGGGTATGATTTTTGAAAACTTTTGAATATATATGATATCTACTAATACATCAGAAATAAATGTGCCAAATTTCAAGTCTCTGGCTCTAAAGGTCCGGCCGGCAAGTTAATATCAAACTTTCATCCCCTTTCTACTTCCTTAGGGTTTGAATTTTGGAAAACGCCAAAACACGTCTTTAATAATTTTCAAAGATCTTCCATAGTACGAAATTTCAGCCAAATATTTAGCAAAAGAATAAAAAGTTTCATACAAACTTTCATCCCCTCTTTTATCCCTTTAGGGGTTGAATTTCGAAAAATCCTTTCTTAGTGGATACCTGCGTTGTCTAAAGAATACGCATGCAAAATTTCAAACCTAAGGGCTTGGCCTTTTCAGCATCGCATAACTTTCATCCCCTATTTTGACACCCTTAGGTATGGTTTTTGAAAAGTTTTGAATGTAATGATATCTACTATACATCAGAAATAAGTGTGCCACATTTCAAGTCTGTGGCTCTAAGGGTCCGGCCGGCACGTTAATATCAAACTTTCATCCCCTTTTCACCCCCTTAGGGGTTGAATCTTAGAAAACGCCAAAACACGTCTTTAATTCATCTATTGGGATTTTAATGCACTCACAGTGCTATATTATTCTCACAAGTGAAAATAAGAAATAGAAAAAATGTCATACATCGACCGGGAATCGAACCCGGGCCGCATGGGTAAACGCCCCACCGCTCTGCCACTGAGCTACCGATGCACCGTCGAGCATCAAGAGATAGAAAATTTGCCATTCATCGACGGTGCATCGATAGCTCAGTGGCAGAGCGGTGGGGCGTTTACCATTGCGGCCCGGTTCGATTCCCGGTCGATGTATGACATTTTTTCTATTTCTTATTTTCACTTGTGACGTCTTTAATTATTTTCAAAGATCTTCCATATTACGAAATTTCAGCCAAATATTTATCAAAAGAATGAAAAGCTCCACACAAACTTTTATCCCCTCTTTTACCCCTTTAGGGGTTGAATTTCGAAAAATCCTTTCTTAGTGGATACCTGCGTTGTATAAAGAATACGCACACAAAATTTCAAAATGTCTAGTCCTAAGTTTTTGGCCTTTTTAGCTATGCATAACTTTCATTCCCTATTTTGACACCCCGGGGTATGATTTTTAAAAACTTTGAATATAATGATATCTAATATACATCAAAAATAAGTGTGCCAAATTTCAAGTCTGTGGCTCTAATGGTCCGGCCGGCACGTTAATATCAAATTTTCATCCCTCTTTTTACCCTCTTGGGGATTGAATTTTGGAAAATGCTAAAACACGTCATTAATTATTTTCAAAGATCTTCCATAGTACGAAAGTTCAGCTAAATATATAAAAAGAATAAAAAGTTTCATACGAACTTTCATCCCCTGTTTTACCCCTTTAAGGGTTGATTTTCGAAATGTGCTTTCTAAGTGGATACCTACGTTGTGTAAAGAATATGCATGCATAATTTCAAGCTTCTAGCCCTCAGGGTTTGGCCTTTTCAGCATTGCATAACTTTCAACCCTATTTTGACACCCCGGAGTCCAATTTTTGAAAATTTTGAATATAATGATATCTTCTATACATCAGAAAAAAGTGTGCCAAATTTCAAGTCTGTGACTCTAAGGGTCCGGCCGGCGCGTTAATATCAAACTTTCATCCCTCCTTTCGACCCCCTCAGTGGTTGAATTTTGGAAAACGCCAAAACACTTCTTTAATTTGTTTCAAAGATCTTCCATAGTACAAAATTTCAGTCAAATATATCAAAAGAATAAAAAGTTTCACACAAACTTTAATCCCCTTTTTTACCTTTACCCTTTAGGGGTTGAATTTCGTAAATTACTTTCGTAGTGGATGGATACCTAAGTTATCTAAAGAATACGCATGCAAAATTAAAAGCTTCTAGCCCTAAGGGTTTGACCTTTTCATCATTGCATACATCGACAGGCGATGTTAGTATGCCTGCCTGCCACACAAAGGTTCCGGGTTCAATTTCCGGTGGGGTCACTCACAAAGTTGATATTTATCACTTTGTGAATTTGTTCCCAGTCTGGTTAGGACATTGCAGGATGAACCACCTGATTGTCCGCAAGTGAGATGGTTCCGTGCATCGGATGGGCACGTTAAGCCGTCGGTCCCGGTTGCTGTCTATGATGGCGGTCGTTACACAACCATGTCAGAGGCCTGCTACTTGCAGTAGGCGGTTGAAAAAACTCTGACACCAGGGTTCATCGGGTCGTTGGACGACTCGGTGTCCCACACGAAAAGAAGAAGATCATTGCATAGCTTCATCCCCTATTTTGTCACCCCGGGGTATGATTAACGAAAACTTTTGAATATGATGATATCTTCCATACATCAGAAGTAAGTGTGCCAAATTTCAAGTCTGTGGCTCTAAGAGTCCGGCCGGCACGTTAATATCAAAATTTCATCCCACTTTTGACCCCCTTTGGGGCTGAATTTTGGAAAACGCCAAAACACTTCTTTAATTTGTTTCAAAGATCTTTCATAGCACGAAATTTCAGCCAAATATATCAAAAGAATAAAAAGTTTCATAGAAACTTTCATCGCCTGTTTTACCCCTTTAGGGGTTGAATTTCGAAAATTCCTTTTTCGGTGGATACCTACGTTGTCTAAAAAATAGGCATGCAAAATTTCAAGCTTCTAGCCCTAAGGGTTTGGCCTTTTCAGCATTGTATTACTTTCATCCCCTATTTTGACACCCCGTGGTATGATTTTTGAAAACTTTTGAATATAATGATATCTACTATACATCTCAAATAAGTGTGCCAAATTTCAAGACTGTGGCTTTAAGGTTCCGGCCGGCACGTTAATATCAAACTTTCATCCCCCTTTTGACCCCCTCAGGGGTTAAATTTTGGAAAACGCTAAAACACGTCTTTAATAATTTTCAAAGATCTTTTATAGTACGAAATTTCAGCCAAATATATCAAAAGAATAAAAAGTTTCATACAATTTTTCATCCCCTCTTTTACCCCTTTTGGGATTGAATTTCCAAAATTCCTTTTTTAGTGGATACCTACGTTGCCTGAAGAACACGCATGCAAAATTAAAAGCTTCTAGCCCTAAGGGTTTGACCTTTTCAGCATTGCATAGCTTTCATCCCCTATTTTATCACCCCGGGGTATGATTATCGAAAACTTTTGAATATAATGATATCTACTATACATCTGAAATAAGTGTGCCAAATTTCAAGTCTGTGGCTCTTAGGGTCCGGCCGGCACGTTAATATCAAACTTTCATCCCTCTTTTGACCCCCTCAGGGGTTGAATTTTGGAAAACGCTAAAACACGTCTTTAATTATTTTCAAAGATCTTCCATAAGACGAAATTTCAGCTAAATATATCAAAAGAATAAAAAGTTTCATACAAACTTTCAACCCCTGTTTTACCCCTTTAGGGGTTGAATTTCGAAAAATCCTTTCTTAGTGGATACCTATAATGTTTATAGAATACGCATGCCAAATTTCACGCTTCTAGCCCTAAAGGTTTAGCCTGTGCGTTGATCTATGACCTATCCCCTTTGCCTTTTATATATATAGATAGATGTTGCTTGACACAAACATGAACCCGGATAGGGTATCGCAATTTTGGTGGATAACATATTATGATAAGGTTATTAACTAAACCTAACTATCAAGACAAGTATATTTAGGAATTTACAAGCTAGACTAACTAATATTTTAACCTATTATCTTTATACAAATACAACTTTACTTATAATAAATAGTTTTCCATATATCACAAAATTTTAGTCATCTAAGAATTCTTGGACGGTATAGTAGCATTTTTTTAACAGGATATTTTTTAATTCCATTTTAAATTTATTAGGGTCAGAAATCTGTCGGATTGTCTCAGGGATTTTATTGTAAATTTTTACCGCCATCGCAAAGGGGCCAGTGTGAAACATTTTCATTTTAGAGAAAGGTACGGCAAGTTTGGTCGCTGGTCGGAGATTCTGTGGGCGGGAGTATTGGGGGAATAAATCAGGATTCAATTTTACAAAATTACTTATTTCCAGTATGTATATGCAAGGGAGTGGTAAGATTTTTAAATTAATGAAATGATTTTTACAACTTTGTAGGGCGTCTATGTTTTGGATAATCCTTATACATTTTTTTTGCAATCTGAATAGTACGATAGAGTCTGAGCTATTTCCCCACAATACAACTCCATATTGGAGCCAAGCATGGGCATAAGCGTAATAGGCATTTATTGCTGTCTGTCTGTCCGTCGTTGTCTTCAGTTCGTAAAGTATGTAAAACTCGACAGTTTGGAAGCTATTTTATTAATGTGACTTTGCCAGTTAATATGAGTATCTATATTGATTCCGAGCAGAGGGTAATTATCAACTACTTCTAAGAGTTTATTATGAAAAGAATATTTTATTTCTAATGGGGTTCTTTGAAAGGGTCCGAATTGAATTAGTTTTGTTTTCTCAAAATTAATTAATAAGTTATGTTCTTCTAACCAAATGACTATTGTATTTAATATATTGTCTAATTTGTTTTGTAGTTGTAGATTATTTTTACAGGTTATTACTATTGAGATATCGCATAAAAATAATTATGTTAAAATTTGCTGTACCGTTGATTTCATGTAGTAGAAAACTATTCTAAACTGATTAGCATATTTTATATTAACGGTATCAACTTGAACTTACTTGTACAACGTAAATAATACAAGGCAAAATCCAAACTAAAATATGGTGTATGCGCAGTAAGACCCACGATGCACTCCCACGTATAAGAACTTAAGTACCACAAAGGCTTTCTACAGCTACAGTTTTTCCGTCGTATAACTACGTATATGATTATTTATAAAGAAATAATATCTTTTTCATCATTTTATTATATTTTTCTTAAACATATTGACTTGGTTAATATATGTTTCAAGTTTCATAACTCTATCTCTAATATTACTAGAGATACACTAATTTGAAACTTAAAAACGCTCTCCTGTAAAATTTGCTAATTTCATTTACGTCATTATACGTAGGGACCGTCGATATGTCAAAATCCAATTATCCGTTTGGGCTGTAGCCCGTGAAAAAGAATGTTCTTGTCCACATACATACATACATACATACTCTCGAAAAACATAACCCTCCTTCTGAGGCAGTCGGGTAAAAACCGTGCAAAGTGCGAGGCGAAGTTGCCCACGAAAAGTTGGTACGGTAATGATGGCATGTTTGATGTGTAGGACCCTCCTAAGTTACGTATTTATTTTATTGTTATATATAACTAGTTGGTGCCCGCGAAATTCGTCTCGCCAAGGGATGCTTGTGTTGTGTGCCAGCCAACAGAGCTGATAAAAGTTAATTATCATCCATCACTTATCTATCACCGATGTTGTTCAAGACATTTGTCTGCTACCATTCCAAACATCAAAATGCATCGCAAAGTTTTTAAAAAAGCAATTTTTAAGTGATAGGCGCATGCACAATCTACGGCAGATGAAACGGACGTTACACGTTTGAGCCTACCATAGGTTTACACTACATGTAATGTAGAATGACTTCTTTGCATCGCCTCACTTAAGGTGGGGTGAGGTATGCTCTCAAAATTTTTCTGCTCCATGGTCTTCTGTCTGCAACCGGACTAACAATACAATTAGTACAATTTCAAAATAAACAGAAAGTAATTACTTACTACACTAACAAAAAAAAGTTATGCCTAATTAATTTTGTTTAACTAAGAAAAAAAT